GAAATGCGGTAGTTGGAGACCAAATAGCAAAATGTTTCTTATGGTCTTTTTGAGATCATATCTCATACATGATTGCATCCAGATGCAGTCCTTGTCATTTGGTGTCATTAAAGCCCTTTTCAGGCACGCCGTATGTAACGTTGCTGCCTTCATCAGTCTGTCGATGGCGGCATTTTGTCATTCAAACGTTGAAACACTCTAACTTTAATGGTCCTCATGACATCGTTCACACGCTCTCCCGTTACATTCACGGAACAAGCCAAGGTGCTTCCACATCGCTGTGTACCCTGTGGGAAGTTGGACAGCACATCAAATGACACACGGCGTGTTCTGGTTGGAGATTTCTTAAATCGGCAGCTGTGTTTTCATAGTTGTCTTGACAGTCAGAGATACAGTTATGTGAATGCATCCGCTCACGCTCTGGTTAACTTATTTCACAATTATTGAAGTGGAGCTTATAGACGCAGCTCACACATCTGAAGTAAAAACAGCGTTCGCATCCGTGCCATCCAGTGACTCAAAAATGGATGAATTTTGATAAAACGTCGTAGGGGTGTAGAGTCGGGTCATGTTAGCCGTCTGTTAAAATTGGCTTCAAGGTCTCCAAGGTCAACTTAATGATTTATTGGTTGCAAATTGACAAGTGTGCTGTGTATTGTCAACATGTAGAAAGATTTAAAATATCATGTCACATGATCTGTCGCCTCTCCTTCAAGGTCAAAGGTCATGTGACATGTGACGGATTGAGCTGAGGGCAGGTTTTCAGCATGACAGTAATATTGGCATGGGATACTTTTTGGCTATAGCCGATTCATTTTATTATGAAGTCACAGTAACAGGTTATAACCATTTAAATACATAACAGTTTGAATAAGTGAACAAAGGTTTGTTTGGGTTTTTGAGAAATGACATGACAATGAAATGAATGCTACACATGAGCTATATCAACAAAAAATATTATACTCGGAATTATGTCAAGTGTTTTAAAATAGGGTTTAAACGTACAAATAAAAGCCTGAAGTTTCCGTTTGTTGTTATGGGACTGCAATCTTTTTTTAGCGGGTTTTTAGGGTTTTAGTCACTCCTAAGAAAAACTTCCAGAAACAGCTTGAAGCAACAAGCTAACGTCAGCTCCTGTTGTCTTTTTTTCAAGAACTGACTGGATTGACTCCAGTAATCTGATCTGTCACCAGAGTGCCATTGGCTTGGACATGTAGCCAGCACATTAAGATACTGCCAGGTTAATGGAAAGGACTGCATCGCTGTAAGGGGCTTATGTGCCCATTGAACCTACACACAAATCCGTTTGCGTCTCATTGCCTCTGAAACCTTCCAAGGCGATACCTACAGCAGCTCGTGCCACCTGCTGTTTACTTCCTTCAGTGAGCTGTGCTGTGTGTAAGCAACATACGCCTATACATATTTAAATTCATCCCTCATACTGACTCTATTACCCCTCCCCACTGCTAGTTCAAGGATCAAATCAGTGCCAATTGTCTGACGCAATCCCGATTAACACCCATAATTGGTGTTGTGAAGTCTTTGTGGTGTCCGTAGCTTCTCCCTCCATCTCCCTCTATCTATACATTTAATTGTAATTATTTTTCAGTGTCTGGGTGACTTCAGGACACTATAGGAACACTGATTAGGAGGCATTTGTGTGCGTAGGTTAAAAACATGGACTGATAAGAGGGATTTGGGTCAAGATGGATGATAAGGCTGGGATTAAGTTTGGAATAATATTAAATACACGGTAAATACACGTTATTCCCTCAAGAGTAAGTTATTATAAACCACTGTATGATTAAATTTTCGGATTTGATCATAGCTTAAATTCTCAGCGAGCGTCGATAAACCTAAAAGACGGTATCAGCCCGGTACTTCAGTACTCTGCACAACAACAGCTACTGTGCAATATAGTTAGGAAAAATGTGTGTATGTGTTGCAATATCCAGCTTCTAGCTAGATGCATCTCTGCCGACCATCTCCTTTGCAGTTCTTTCTGACATATCATCTTTGAACCTGCTGATTACAAATCCTCCGGGCTCTAAGTAGAATAAAGCAGAAAGTATGGCAAAGAAAAAGGGTATAGAGATGAGCCCTGATAATTGTTCCCCACTTTCATAGGCTTGACCTCTTATTGTTCGACTGGCGCTTACTGCCTGCAGTTTAAGTCTTCATGGTGCTGACGGTCGGATGAGGCGAGCGGCAGAAGATGAGGCGGATGTTGGAAGGAGGTGGGAGCTGGTCACGTAACACATAAAGCTCACACGAGTCGAGAGTCGGCAGACCATATCTCATTACTTGGCTGGCTCGAAATGAGATGGGGCCCCTTTTTTGCTTGTCCGTCACTGGTGCGATTGATTAGTCAGCAGCCAATCAATGTTAATTAAGGTGTAGAGAATCCTTTAATTGTGGTGTATGAATCATTGTGTCAGACCCTGCCTTGACCTTCACAAGACTTGCGCTGTGAACGGCCTTGGTGGGGCATAAATACCTTTTATATATGGCAATATAATGGCGGTCTGTAAACGAGTATAGATCTGACGAATGGCAATCCTGTATACACTGGAGCTCGGAGCAGGAGGGCCTCACTAAGATCACATATGCAACCCGGTGCTTTGAACAGAAGCCTGTCCCACCTTCGTATCCTCTTATTTTTCTTCACTTTTTAAATAGATGCAGAGCTGGAAAAGATCGATACCTGTCAAAAGATTTAAGAGTTAATGTTGTGAGATAAGTGTTGCTATTATCTGTGGCGAGAGGCTCTCCGTGCATATGGAGTGGGGCTTTGATTGATGACTGCCAAAAACAAAATGGCACATGAGACTACCACAGGCACCGTAATTGTGTTTTTTAATGAAGACCTACATTTTATGTGGGAGCTGATTTCGCACTCGGTCGATTGTGTCTACTCCGTCCTCTCTACCGCCGCTGCCACCATCCATCATGCAGTCATAACAATGTTACCTGTATGTGGTTGAAGCCTGGTCGTAAGTCCGTGACTTCCCACTCTAATCCTTCACAGAAAGATGAATTTGCCCCTGACTGCGTCACCTGAACCTAAATTAAAGTGAACTTTATGATCGTTATTCATTTACAACATGTCTCTCAAGCGCTGGCTGTATACAAAACGTGGATGTGGCCACTGTGGCATCACACAGTTCTTTGTGAAATCTAGTTTTTAGGCCCCGGTTTTATCAATTTAGTCATTTTTGCTTTCGTTGTGGCCAGAAGAGGCCATAGTGAGACAAAACGTTAGTGTCTTCAGCTAATGGTAGCAAGTTTTGTCATCATAGCACATTGGCAGTGTTGGGGAGTAACGGAATACATGTAGCGGCGTTACGTATTTAAAATACAAAATATGAGTAACTGTATTCCGTTACAGTTACCGTTTAAAAAGGTGGTATTTAGAATACAGTTACTTTGTTGAAATTAAGGGATTACACGGCGGTCTTTTCCTGTTTCATATGTTAGGCTATGCCCTCTCTATTTTTGGTAATTCCACGCCGGTGGAAACCCAAACACCTGTTTTATATACGCACCGAATAGTTTTCTATATGAGATCACTGCAAAAAGTGCAGCCTTACCTAATGTCCACCCTACTGTTACTCATTTTATATTAAGATTTAAAAATCTAGTTGGTATTGGTATGGTGAGTATCCTTCAGTAATAGTAATAAATCACACAGCAATAGTACATTCATGTAGTTGTAAAAAGCATGATAATATATTAAGTAATCCAAAGTATTCAGAATACGTTACTCTCATTGAGTAACATTACAAAATACATTTTGGGGCATGTAATCTGTAATCTGTCGTGGAATACATTTAAAATGTATAAAAGTAACCTTCCCAACACTGCACATTGGTGTGTATGTGCAAATATCCATACTACAGATATAAATACTAAAATTTCGCTTGTGAAATGACCAGTTAGCAAGTCATGTTATTTGTTGGATATTTGAATGAAAAATTCCCCAAACCATCATCACGACAAATACAATTTAGAGGTTCAGTTCATGAGTGAAATCAGCTCATTGCCTAGCAGACAGCCACCAACTGTTATGCTGCTAGCTGCCTGTGGCAATTTCAAGAGCTTCCAATGTCAGAGCTATCTTCTCTCTCTTCTACTTTATTTAGGGCAGCATATCTAAACAAGTCTCTTGTCAGTATTGTTATCCACTAGTCGTTGCTCATATGTGTTGTATGAGATATTGCATATATTATATTAGCTGTGAAAAACACCATATATGCAGTCTATGAGGTGCATTGGTAGCACAATCCTATCACAGGAAGAAGGTTCCTGGTTCAGATCTAAATGCTGCGTTTCTCTGTGGCGACTTGTATCTTCTCCCGGTGCCTGTGTAGGTTTCCTCTGTGTACTCCAGCTTCCTCCCACAGTCCACAGACATGCATCAACAAAAATACATCAACTCTGAAATTTGCATTAATGTAGAAACACTAACAGCTAATAGCGATCAAACAGTTGAACTATTCTGTGTCTGGATCGACTTGAATCACTGAAAATTCTGTGTTTTTAGAAACGGCAGTTGAACCATAGGAGTTATAGATAAATATAAATAAATAGATAAACGTGTGAATTCATTTCCTGATTGATTAGGCCGCCCTTGTTTGCTTCCATTCATATTTCCAGTCTGTAACAGACTTTGTGTTAGTGTAGTCTCTAGGTTTAGCGACATCGTGATCGCATATTTTGTCAGTCTTCCTCCGAGAAATCCAAAAATAGAAATAAATTAATTAAAATAAAAGTATCCCGTGAATTCGAGGCATAAAAGTAGATGAGTTGAGTTCATAAACAGTGGAGCTTTGTGATCGTCTTAATCTCTTCTACGGGATAAAGTGCTTTAAAGTTCATTAACCACACACTAAATGTCTGACTAATGTGCCACTGTCTATTGTGGCCATTCACAAGGACGTGATTATCCAATGCTTTACTTATTTATTTATTTTAACAGAATGACTTTTCTTTGCTTTCAGATGTAACAACAGGACCCAGTGTGCTGTTGTGGCAGGACCAGACGTATTTCCTGACCCGTGCCCGGGAACCTACAAATACCTGGAAGTCCAGTATGAATGTGTGCCCTACAGTATGTATCCCCCAGCTCTCCTAATGTTCTTGCCCATTCTCGTTTCCTCTTAACAACAGCGCCTCATCAGAAATGGTCGGAAATACTAAATATCTCAGATGTGTCATCCAGTCTAGTGGAAAAGATTAGGACCCTGCAGTGAGCGCGAAGACGCGCGATGGTTTCTGTTATCCGAAAACATAACACCCTGCACGAGCGCAGGAAATGTGAATGACAGTGTTGCTTACCTGTGAAAAATAATACAGTTTATCAGTTTAGAGAAACGCTACCTGCTGATGCAGCGCTGTTGTTTATCAAGCCGTCTCTTTGTTATAACTGACAGGTGATTAACGCTTCCTGCGTCGTATTAATTCCATGTGGCATCAGTTAGATCAACAGTGTTACAGTTTACACTTATTTTACTCCGAGTGGCGTTTTTGGAGCCGTGCAATTTATAAAAATAGAAGCGAGCAAATCATTTTTGAACTTTTAATCCGTTTTTCATCAACCTGTTAGTGCTGCTGCTGTTCCAAAACGGAGTAAGGCATATATCCCATAATGCATTCAGGCTTTCTCTTGTTTTTTTAAATGGCGCTTGTCACAACCTTCCCATCAGCTCCCTCGGTTCAAAGCGCATTAATATCTTTGAGGAATCACGTCTGGTGATGTCAAGTCTCTATTTCCATCACAGCAAGAAAGGCCGTTTCGACTTTCATCAAAAAGAAAAGTACTCATTCTCAGTTCAGTTCAGCTCAGTGGACGCCGGCTAATGTTCACACTAGTGAGGCATCTCTGAAGGGGGTAAATAAAAATGATTTAATTAGTGCAGCAGGTGAAAAACACTGTCAGGCTGCAACATAACCTAAGTGAAAACATTTGGACAGGGAATGGAAGGATCAGCATGGGGTGACAGGATGAGCGTGCTGAGAGGATATCCAGGCGAGGCTAAAGGAAGTGGCATGGACATTGCCATATGACCTTTGCTATTGTCTTTTTAATGAACTTTGAAGTGGAACACCAAAGTCACAATAATTACGCCTGCCAAAAATCCTGATGCTCAAAAAAGGGGGAAATATTTAGTCATGGGCATTTAGCTGTGTAGTCTACAGCGGCTGCATTGAAGTGAGTTGTAGTAATTCAAATCAAAGCCATCTTTTAACATTTGATGTCCTTACATGGTTCCCTCAGTAGTGGGCCTGACAGTAGCTTTCATGTTGTGAAGTGAAAGCCCTTTTTGTCTGTGATCCAGAGCTAGCAAATGGTCTTATTATTCCTCGCTGTAATATGCACATTATGCTATTTCAGTCACCCAGTGCCAGTGTCTTTCCTAGGTGTCATTGTCTTGGGATACTAACAAGGATAAAGCCACTGCAATGAACAGTAGCCCACTTTCAGTCACTTTTTTCGTCTGTCACACTTGCATCTACTCAAGTTTTCAACCTTTTGAACTCAAGCATTTCACTAGTTTACCATTTTGACCATGAGGCAGCTAGAGTCTTGAAATACGCGCAGGATCATGAGAAAGGCTTTAGCGGAGGCGGGCACTTTTACCAAGGGGCTACATCAGAAACTGGGACTGTTGTGGAGCGCCGCACGGAAAGCAGTTTAAAACTCAAGTTTTGAAAAGTGCTGTACAAATCAACTTTATTATAATTATTATAATTATTATTATTGTGATTACCAATGAGATAATAAAGAGGGAAAATTATTTTCAGCAGAACTGAGTTTAACTTACTGGTGTGGCCCTCCACAACAGTCCTGGTTTCTCACCCCTGCTTTAAGGTATGGGCTTTAGGCCGGTTGGGTTATTACCGGTCAGTAAGATCTCAGCTATGTGTGTTTAATTTGGGGTAATTCTTAAAACACACAGTAACTGCCAACAAATGAGTTTAATTCTAACATTTTAAACACAAAGACAGCACAAGTCCTCGAGGGCTACAATAACTACATTGCTTAATAGCTACACTGGTTTATTACAAGAAACTTGTGGCTTTTTTCCCTCTTTAGTTAATAATCAAGCTGCAAGTTGGAGACAGTGACCGATGATTCACTGGCCCGATTCTTTGAAATTAGCCTGCAGCACACAGTCCTAGATGGGTCATCCAGTGTCACTTGCAAGGAAGACTTACCACATGTGTGAGAAACCATTTTATACTTGCTGACACGTAAAAAGATATTATTTTATCATTTGGTCCTCAAGATTTTACCTGTAGAAATTGCACGCGCACACTTTTGCACAGTGTAAGAACATTTCTGTGCACATATCAGTGAACGAGGCTCGTTCTTAGAAACCTTAACTGGGAGTGTGGACATTATTTTTTCTTATCATAGAGAAACAATAAGATTGGTTGACTCTTGCTCTCTTTGACTACTCAGATGGACATGGCAATTTTTTTCCTCATGATTATGTCGGTTGCTTAATTTACATTGTTGCTACTCCAGTCCACCGAGTGTAGGTTGGAGTCATTTTTTCTTTCTTTTCTCCAACACATAGGCATTGTTTTCAGCCGGACCTTAATGTAATTGACCTCCAGTTCGATGGGAAATGAAATTATTTTTGCCCTTTCCACATGCTTGAACAGCATGGAAAAAACATAAGAACTTCCACCCCCATCCCACCCTCTTACAATTACTTCCAATTTATTCTATTGGTGTCAGATTTCTGAAATAATAGACACACGCATTATGGCTCCATATATTATGCTGTAAAAAAGCTGCTGCCTAATGCAGAAGCTGGGTTTTCCTGTCCTGTCTGGATCCCTGTAACACATGCAATTGTCCCCTAAGGTGATGGAAAATTCTGCAATACCCTCAGGACCCAGTGGCATTTTCATTCAGCGATCTCTTTAATGTTTTCTCTTACTCGATAAGTCTGACTTAAACAGTAAAAAAAAAAGAAACCATAACTCATAACTTGACTGCATTCCCATAATGCTGTAAAACAGTTTCTGCAGCTTAATTGCTTTAATACCCAGGACTCCTATTAGGGTTCCACGAGGGAGAAATACCGAGGCACCTTGTGTGGTTTAACTATGGATCGCTCCCAGATATGGCCATAAGATCGAGAAATCTGCTGGCAATGCATAAACATGGCGGCAGTCATGTAGCAGTTTATTTGTATATTGAGTGTGGAAGCAAAGTGTAATCACAAGCGGTCACTGGAGACGCATTTGAAACGGATTCGGTGGCGGCGATATGAATGAATTCATCTGTGGTAAACTCTCTTCACACCTCCCAAATGAATCAATCAGAACCTTTTGGCTGGACTGAATCACACTGAAAGTGCTTCCTTCACATTTGTGTGTCATGCTTACGTGTTTGATTATGGCTACGTGTCTTGCGAAAATAAGTCTCAATGGGGAGGATGAGGAAAAAAAAGCACAATAGATTTAAGTGGTTTGTGTGTTAATTGGAAATGAGGTATGGATAGAGACATGGCAGCTCAATTGTGGAACGGCTTTTAACACAAGTCTCCTTACCGAGTTCCTGAGACTGACTGAAGGATTTGAGTGTTTAATAAGAGGAGCAGCCACCCATGACTCCAACTCTTCTTTCTCTGTATTCCACTGACAAGCTCTCCCTCTCAATCCTAATACTCTTTTTTTTTTTTTTTTTTTTTTTTACCCTCACTTTCTCTAACATTTCGTCCTTTAAGTCCTCTCGCTGGCCTCCCCCACCCCTCCCTCTCTATCTCCCTTTATTTGCCACCTCTGTTCCCTCACTCCAGAGTCTCATCTGCCCCTTCTCTTCTCCCCAACCACCTTCGCTGACAGCTTTTATCTGTTTTCTGCTTGAGGAGCTTCTTTTTCTTTCTTTTTCCTTTTAGGACAAATTACCGCCGTCCTCTCCACATCTCTATAAGCCGGCGAGATTGTGCGATTGGATCCGCTGTCAATAACAGCGGAGGGCTGTGCCAAATCGATGGACACATGTTGCAGATACAATATTGATTTTATTAATTTGCGATTCGACCCGCTCCATCAGTTGTAATGGAAGAAATGTTAGAACAATTACCGTTGTGGGTGCCAGTGTTTGCCCGTGCTGGCGCTGTGGCACGCGCGGCGCGATCCGTCATGTTTTCATTTGAGCTGCTGTCTGGATAATTATTCGATATGAGCTGCGAGTTTCTTGGATGAGGAAATGCCACCGCGTTGAACGATGAGGGTGGGAAAGCAGCGCCAACATAAAGGTGAAACAATAAAAAAGGAATTTATACATTTTGCATTTGAAACATTAAGCGCTTACTAAATAAAGCTTAATAGCATGCGCTTGTATTTACCTCAGGAATTCATCAGAGTCCTGTGAACATGACTAATTTTTAATCTGCCCGACGACTCTTTCTTTTTGCAACACAGCAGATTGCACACGCCCCTCTGTGCAGTTTACATATTAGCAAGGCCAACTTCGGGCACAAGTGACACGCTGACCCTTTATGATGACTCATAAACACGAGCACGCTCTTATGGCTGACATCTGTCTCCGCCCCGCCCTCTCACCTTGACTTTCCGCAGCCAAGCGGAGAGATGCAAGCGTATTCTCATCGTGCCTTATTACAGCCTTCTTTCCTCGCTCGCTCCGTCTTTCTCTCGGTGTAACTTCCACTTTAACAACTCCTCCCGAAGGCCGAGCTCATGAGAGGTCAACACAACTGCGTCTCCCTCCTACACACCCACCGCTCCTTCCTCGGCTGTAATGAAGCGCTTAGATCTCCTCAGCAGGCCCGTCATCTTCCCCGTCTTGTCGCACAAGATTCCGACCTGTGTTGCAGTGCTCTGCCGTTGACAGCCTGTGGTTGTCTTCCTTGTCCTCCTCCCCTCACGTCGACCGCGCTCTTTTGGTAATTACATGTATCTTTCTGTGCAGTTTCGATGATCCAGGCAGGCGATCATGTCCCTTACCCTCCCACCACCTGCCCCCCACACACACAAACACAAAAAAGATGAAGTAGTGGATATGAGGGAAATGTATTTGCGCTGTTCACTTTGCAAAACTTACACTTCACTGTGCTCGGCAGACGAGCT